TTCTGATTTTGGCATAAAAATACCTAACCCAAACAGGTCCAATGTATCTTTAGAAAGGCGGTCTTTCAAATCATTCGTTACACTGTCCAGTAATGGTATATAAACAGTTCTTCGGTGATATTCCTCTTCGTTCCCTTGGTGATTATCGCGATGAGTCTGCCGATATACAGTGCGTGGTACTGATTTTTGGGTCATGACCCCTGTGACCCCCCCCCTCGGACCGTGCCTGTGTCCGTCGTGCACAGACTTCAAACGAACATCAAACGAATCGACACCGCGCAGTGTAGGTATGTTAGTTGCGGGCGCTGCTCCAATTGACTTTGAAAGGAGTATAGGTAATTCCTGGTGCATGGACTTAATGAAATGGAAGGAATCACCCTGCACACAAACATATTTCAAGTGACAAACATACCGACCCATCTAGCCAACCTATTTTAATTTCCAGCCGTAATATTTTTACGTTGCATTCGCTATTTTCGGCTTCCGTCGGCTGGATACAGACTTTATTCTCGTCTCGAAAAATAAATGCGAGCCGATTTCATTGTTGATAAAGCGTTACGAGGCCATTGGCCATGTGTATAATACACACGCGTGCATATCGTTGAGAATGTTCGTTCAGATTCACATAGCGATAACCTGTGTGACGTGAAATTCGCGAGAAACCTGCCGACTTTTTGCGGAATTCCCAAATGAACGAGAAAGGATTCGCCGATGATGACCGCGCTTGTTTTATTAACGAATTTGCGTCGCTTGCTTTTTGTTGTTCTTTTACTCGTTCTTTTACGATGTTTTTTTTTGTATAATACCTACCTACATTTCATCAAAACCTACGTCGAATTAGTTGTATCAATATCAATACACATTAGGTACATAGAGCGCTGTGCGCTATTGGTATACCTATTACCTAATATGACAGAGAAGAAACATCAGGATGTATACTATATCACAGATTAACAAACCTTGTGTTAATCTGTGACTATATTATGTAGGTAGGTAGGTATGTACAGCGTACATACCGAGGTATACATTCATTATGTACATATGCTGGTATGTAATAATATTTGAAGATTAATTCACGAAGTTTTACACAAGAAGTTATAAAATCCGTTATCAACAATCAACATGAAATATATAGGTAGGTACATATTTTGGTATTGGTAGGTTGGATGGTGACAGATGCGCTGCGACCTAATTAGATCTATTGTGCCCCATCTGCTTCTGCTATATCAAGGATTTCTTGTTCATAGCAGCCCCTCAAGATTCAATTCCTTCAGGAATTTGAGGATTTTGAGGGGATCTAGTTGTGGTATTTCTTCCACAGTCAGCTGGTGTGTTCCCAGTATGTTCAATCTTTTGTGATGTACAGCGTCATGCACACTCCATCAGTATGTGATGGGGTGTTTCTGGTTCTTCCTCACAGAATCTGCAGGTGCCGTCCTCCTGTAAGCCTATAGCTTCCTTAGGTGTTCTTTGAGTCTGCAAGAAATCCCGTTATTGCTTTGAGACTTCCTTTGCTGAGGTGTATCAGTGTCTTAGATCTTTCTCGGTTGAAATTTCCGAGGAGATCTTTAGCATGCCGCAGTCCTCGAAGTCTTATCCATTGTCTGGCTCTCAAGGCTCCTTCCGCCTTTTCAAGTTCTCCTTGGAAATACAAATTTGCAAGGCCGCAGAATGGCTCTGATGGTCCGATCAGGAACGTCGATCTCTGATCTCGGCGACGATATAGGTAATTAATAATTGATATGATGTAGCAGGTACCTAGTCGTCACGCACTCATATGTCAACGTGTCAACGACCAACCAATTTGTACACTTTACTCTTTGATGAGAGTAGATATGAATGAATGAATGAATTTATTTCAATATAGGTATACATCCTAATATTCACAATATTAAAATTACAGAGACAATGATTCAGGTAATAATACAATAATAATATCAATCTACATGATTAATTATCTATTCTATCTTATGACATTTGATTTGATAAAGGCAGTTAGTTTTGATTTAAACTGACGGAGATTTGTGACACTTTTCATTTCTTGTGGTAACTTATTATATTGATTCAAACCTTTATACAATAATATTTTCATTGAGTTCGATAAGTTACATCTTGGCAAGTGGAAATTATCATTTTGTCTTGTTTCATATTCATGTGTACTATTCCGATAAATTATAAATTCCTTAAAGTAGGTTGGTAGAATATTATTAATAATCTTAAAAATAAATATCATTGATGTTCGGTAAAGTCTATCTTTTATCGATAACCAACTCAGTGTATCAAGCATGGAAGAGATACTACTAGAACGATTACATCTAAGAATCACCCTCATGCCTCGGTTCTGCAGTTTTTGTAATGCCATAATTTTATTCTGGTCACAACCATAAAGTAGAGTGCTACAATAATCAAAATGTGGTTGTATTATGGTATTATAAATGGTGATCTTAGCAGCGGTAGACAGATGAGTAGATATTCGAGTGAAGAAGTAAAGTTTTTTTGCTATTTTTTTCGACATATAATTGAAATGTGCACCAAAGGTAAGGTTGTTATCTAACATGAAACCAAGGTATTTAAACTCTGTTATGAAATCTAATTTTTCGTTGTTAATGTTCAGCGAAACAGAATTGAGATTTAATTGTCTATATCTATAGCCTGTTGTCAGAACCATAGCTTTAGTCTTCGAGATATTCAATTTCAATTTATTCATATTGAAGTACTCATGTAAATGTTCCAAGCATGAGTTCATTTTACTTATAGCAACATTCAAATTTTTATGTGCTATTGATAACAAGGTATCATCAGCGAATAAGTTGATCAGGTCACAATCGAGTGCTACGCCAATGTCGTTGATATATATTAAAAAGAGTAAGGGCCCCAATACACTACCCTGAGGTAGGTAGAGATATAGTGTCCTCCGTATAGGTATATAGAGTGTTATTCCAAAAACAAATAATACAGAATATGAATTTCAAAAGGGTCGGCTAAACGTGCCGGAAATGTTTGTTTGAGCTGCTTCCATTGAGTTTGGATAGATTACCTATATGTACCTATAATTATCGGTGATTTTTATTCTGACCAAGCACCTTCGAGTCAAGATATTCGTAATTCACATAGAATTCATGGCAACACCCTCTTCGGCAACACCATTTATATCTAAACAGACTCGATAACTCTACAGCTATTGTAATTGTGAAAAACCTTCATTGGCAGGTGAATGATACCTATGTGAAGATTGAATGGTTTCCGAACATTTTTCACTTTCCGGCCACTTACGGTTTCACTTCACCGAAACTACCTATGTCAAAGTTTTAGTATTTAGTATGAACGTTTGACAATAATCTTACTATTTGTTTTCAAATGGCGATATAATTGAAATGACTAAAAAAATGAAATAGGCGTGAAAACTTTTTTAAATGTTCACATGATGCTGATCCTGAATTGTCTCACAAGTCCAAAAATGTTACAATACAATTTACATATATCATGGCATATCAGAAATGTTCGCAATATTTTCCATCTTGTTGAACATATCATATTTCAATACCGGAGGACATTCGGCTGATAATTATTTGGGGTCTCTCTAGTTTGAATTACAACAAAATAAAAGGGTTTTCCGGATGACAACTATCATAGTGATATTCAGTACAGCAATACTATACAGGGTGTTTCATAATTGAATGCTGATCCTTAAGGGCGATAATCCTTGGATGATTTCAAAGAGAAAAGTTCATATCAACATATGTCCTAAACCTCTTAGTTATTGAGCTACTGGGTGATGAAATTTCAAGAAAAAAATGATTTTTTCATCATAATTTTTTATTACTTTTAGACATTGTTATGATATTTTTTATACACCTTTTCATTATTAAAGAACATTTTTTTACGTGAAAGATATTTGAAAATTCTCATCAGTGGCGTCCGTACGGGGTTTGAACTGACAATTTTTGGAGAAAAAAATAGTACGCCACTGATTTTTTTGAGAACCAGATTTTTTTTTCAATTCTTATTCATTTTGGAGCAAATTTGGTTCCTAGACTTACTTTCATACAACGTACCGTTTTTGCGTAAAAAAATAAAAACCAAAGAATTTTGTTCCTTCAGTTCTTGTATATTGTTTTTGGTAATTCAGTAGACACCCACTATAAGTGGAAACACATTTTGTTTTGGGACGAAAATCAAACTTTTACTTTTACCAGTGATGACCTCGTAGACCTGATATTGAATGTTTTGTTTAAAAAAACGCTGTACGCTTCTGATTTTAACACCCTGTAGCTCAAAAACTAAGAGGTTCAGGACATATGTTGATATGAACTTCTCTCCTTAAAATCATCCAAGGATCATCGCCCTTTAGGATCAGCATTCAATTATGAAACACCCTGAATAAGTCGAGCTATAAGTGCTTCAAAATATTCGGGTTATACATCGATAACTTGTTGCATAGTTAGTGTTACTTTAACAGTTGATATAATCCTACCGCTTGGCGATGCGATTATTTTTTGAGTAGTCTGAACAAACGTCAAAACTTGACGACGCGCTTTGTTTTGTATACTATGTAACAATATGAATGAGTTACTATGGAAATGGAAATAATTATAAATTTCTTATTGGTGGAGCTACTCTATGTATATCTACTTATATTCCAAATTATACAAGGTAGCTTATTAACTCATTCGAACGTTCTGATTGGTTTAAAATCATACGAAGAAAATAATCGCAGGAATCCATCTTCATCCATCTTCATGGGCCAAAGTTCATGGTCATTTATATAAACAAACCAAATAGTTATATAATATACGATACGCCCCGCTACTAGTTTGTTCTAATCATTTTATTGTCATTCGAAGAACCCTAACAACTATCGCGTTCTTGAATCTTCACGTGTTGGGATTTGCTTTCCCTTTTTTTAAATTGTTTCGTAAGAGATCAAAAGTCACCGTCGCTACCTCGAACCACCCAAAACGGTAGCAATATCAGTGGTAAAACATTCTATTCTCTTCCAGATATCTTCACAAGGCCATCGAACAAGGTTTCGTCGAGGTCACGCTCGCTTTGATCCGCGCCGCCCCCCACCCCAAGCTGTTAGACACGCCCAACAAGGACGGCCAGACGCCCCTCCACCTCGCCGTCGAGACGGGCCAGTGGAACGTCGCTCGCTGGTTGGTCGTCGCTGGCGCCAGGCCCTGCCCAAGGGGCGTGCACGGGGACTCGCCCCTCCACATAGCCGCGCGCAACAACGACTCGCGGAGCGTCAAGGCCATGGCCGACCCCGTGCAGCAGCAGGAGAGGGAGCGACTAGCGCTCAGCTATCAAGGTCACATGTACCAGCCGTGCAATTTTGACCAGTGGAATATTTATGGTTAGTGGATTTTTTAATTGAATCGCTCAGAAGAAGGCGAGGGGAAGCGATTTTTCAAATAGGTGTACACCATGGAATTTTAAGTCTCGTTTTAAGTACCTATTAACAGTACCAGTTTTAAGTATTTTATTTTAATTGCCAGATATTAAAATATGGTGTACACATTTTGGGTAGTTGTTTTCCCTTCGGAAGAAGGATATAATTAGCATTTTGGGCCAAAGTAAACTAGCATAGACATTTTCTTCTCTGAATATGTCCACATGAATCTAGCCAAAGAAGGGAACAATCCCGATATTTTCAAATGCACTGCGTCGCGAACAGAATATGGTATAGTTAGTGTTGCCGTATAGACTTATACATTCTAGACTCTTGTCTTGTCTTGTCTAGAATATCAAGACAAGATCATCAATATGTCTTGTCTAGATTATCTAGACAAGACAAGACAAGACTTTTCATTTTCCATACAAGACTTTTATTCAAAACTCTTGATTATTTTCAAATCTATATTACAAATACGTCGTTTCGCTGGCGCGGCTATGATTTGTTTTGATTGGTTCCCAGAGAGCGGTAGTTTGCATGCACTTGACTGTTTCTACGCAATTTAAGCTAAACGTCTTATCTAGAGTCTTGAATAATAATTTAGACTTTCGTTATCTAGACAAGACCGCACTTAGCTTATTTAATCAAGACTTACGTGTTTACAACTCTTGTCTTGAAATTTCAAGACAAGACAAGAGTAGGTAAACTCTTGTCTTGTCTTGTCTAGATGGCAACACTAGGTATAGTGGAATGAGGAAAATTATTTTGAATGATTCCTTTTTTCCACTGTATGCCATAGAGGGCACGCAAAGCCCACTATCTGTGTCCTTGCAATCAACTGCTTATTGACTCTTGATTCTCCATCAATAAAGGGTCAAAAGATGAAAATCACAAAGAAATATAGTGGAATAAGCTCAGGAATAAGGAACTTTGAATTTATGTTACATCCCTAATATCCATTAGATAATACTGAAATTGTCAAAAATGCGACTCTCAATGTACCTATTATACCATTTCCTAAAACTTTTCCAAGAGTTTTAGAGTTTTTGTTTTCCCAGAATTATAGATTTTGTAATTATTCCCTTCTTCTCCAAAGCAATTCTTTGGGTACATGCAGATCGTTTGCCAAATCGTTATATATAGGGCATGTGAATGGCAACATAGCTAGAGCGACTGGTTCGGTCGGCTATCGTACGTCATCGCCAATGTTACCAGGTCAAGAATGAGATAAGCGGTAGACATAAAAAAGCGGTAGATTCAAAAATAAAACGGTGGATATAGTTTGAAAATTACAGTCTTTGTCATCTACTAGTGGTTTACTAGTTTCGGAATTAAATAGGTAATTAACAAAAGTGAAACAGTTGAAATTAAATAATCATCATTCTTGTACGAACTCACCTAAATTCATGAAGCTTCATAAAAGATAACTCGGCAAACAATCAGTACAATTAAAATTGTGGTTGCAACGAATATTGGGTATTCACCAATAACCGACATTTCCTAGAGGATTCACCGACCGAATTCAAAACGTAATACGCAGTAGGCGATGGACTTGCATATAATATTTCCTGGTGGTAAAAAATACTTCGATGAGATTTTGCGATACTAAAAAAATTGGTAACATGATATAGAATGGAAAGGAAATCTATTACGATGATATGTTTATTTTTTGTTTTGGCGTCGACTGCACAGAACTCAAAGACCACGTCGACTGTCGGGGGTTCATTACCGAGGATATTATGGTTGATCCAGTCATGAGAATTCCTAGTATTTTCCCAATCTCTAATGCTTCTGGCGATCTTTTGTAGTTTTATTGAGAACACATTATTTTGAGAATTCCCGACCAACTTTATAGTTGTTGTGGTTTAGGTAGTTTTCGAATTACTCGACAATAAAAAACAAATTGTTCCTAATTTAACAGTGGAATCAAACCGCGTTCGAGATTGTATTTAATGAACAATAATTCTAAGAATGTCAAGGAATCGCTAGGAAGTATACGGGTTTACATCATCGGAAAACCCATGGTTAGCAAAATGCAAATGACAAATTAGAAATGATTGGAACTGGTTTATCTGATATGTTTTATTTAGAAGTGATAAATAATTTCCAGCTGAATCATTTTGGACATAAAACACCCTAGTTAATATTTCATGTAGTTATTGCTGAAAGTAAGGTCATCTTTTAACAATGCAAAATGCAATACCGTAAGAGTTATGCCATCGATGATCTTTTTGCGCATTTTATAACCAACTTTCGATGTGTAAATTTGAGCAATTAATAACAACCAGGTGTCTAGACTACTAGACTAGTATAAGCGCGTCCTCAGAATATTCAAATACCACTCCGTGTAGTCATTCATACATAATAGTGTTCATGTTTATCTCACATTTTCGAATATAAATCTAAATGTTAATCTAATAGATATATCACTTGTAATAAAAATCATAAGGATTTGATTGACAACGGATATAATCTGAGGTCACATGATGGGTTAGGCTGTATTAGTGTCTGATGATTAAAAGTTGGGAATCCCTACGTGGTATGAAAATGAGAAATAAACCTGTGAGTCAAAAACTTGAGTCGCAGTTTCTCAGTCTTGAAGTATTGCCTTATTAAGACTTTGATTCAGACATAATTATAGTTGATGACTCAAATGAATCTGACCATTTGAATTTCGGGATGAGGATATTTAACTTTGATCTTATTTTGTATCTGATGTGATCTTGGCCTAATAAAAACAAGTTGAAAGTGGAAAGCGACAAATCAATCAATCACTAGGAGGCTCATTCATTGGTATAATACCTCAACATTAATAATTGTGTTTTCGGCGGGTGTAATAATCTCTTCTTTGACCCCCATGACTCTCATGAGGTATGGAATTTCCAGTTGGGCCATCATCCGAAAAAACCCACAATAATAAACCTATCTACATATTATCAACTATACAGTTTCATCACTTCAACTTGAAACTTTCCTCAATTGTTATTTGATGGAAAGGCTGTCGATAAAGTATCGATAATAATAATGTCAATCTATTTTGACTCGCCGATTCGAATATAACGATGGTTTAAATTTAGCCGAGTATTCTAGAGATTTTTGGGAGGTTGTATCCCGCGCCATTTTTGGCTCGTTGAATCATCCGATTCGCAACTCGGACACTGAGAGAATGGACCAGGAAAGTATGTCGTCATTGATAGTTCAAACGTCATTCTTGTTAACATGTTTACAAACAATCCCTTTAATTTTCCAAGAGTTTGATGGTGTTTGCTAAATTATATTTATATTATGCTGAAAATGCCTTGGAACGTTCTTGTTGACAAGAATTACTGCATAACGCGTATGACCTTCATATGACGTCATGACGAGGTTTTTGAAGTCACTTCAAACGTTTTCAAAATAATTCCTATATATATCATATTTTGAACATCAACATAGTAAGTGAGAAAATGATTCAAAAGTTTCTTACACTCATACCTATGATATAAATCTTTGGTAGAAGTCCATATTGCCCAAAGTGGAGTGAAATATTTCACAGGAAGGAATGCTCGAAGTCATCTTTCATCTTCCTTCCTGTGGTATATACATAATAAGACAATACTTGAGACAATAAATATAAATATACACTGCCACCGTTGGGATCTTGTGAAGCATAAATTAGAGAAAATTATCAACCTTGAAACATTCCAATAATAAATTTTACTTTTCAAAATATGACGGAAAACTGAACATACCTTTTTTCTTTTTTGATAATAGCTTGAAATTTGGTTCACAAAACGTACCCAAATAACACTGGAAAGTGTCAAGATTTGTACTGTTTTTTCATGAGCCGTTGAATGTTTTTTTTTCAATTGAGGTCAAACATGCTAGATATATCCCAATGGCATATAGCTTGATCGGATATCAAGGATAAGGTATAATAAGTAGGTAAATACACCTACCTAATGATTGATATTGATTTTGTGCTCAATCTATAAGGAAGTTAAACAAACTAGGCAAATATCAACATACCTACCTATATCTATAATAGGTACAGCATACATAATCGAACGATTTGACCTGGAATTTCCATGAGGACTATTTGTATTCGAACTTCTTGAGGATTATTCATCAGGAAACAATTGTCAACATGTACCTACTGGTGTTATTTTTGTATTCGATATCAAAATAGCCCCCGAGCCTCTCTGAAACGTCAATGAGAAGTCTTAAAATACTTCAAATCATATTTACAGAACAGGCAGGCATGTTGCCAGATTAGTTAAATTGGTAGAGGCGTTAGGAATCCAGTAAATAAAACGAAGAACTTCCATGTCTGATGCCTATATCCTCATCCTATGAGTTCAATGCTCTTTCCTGCTCAAATAGAATGTTGCGAAAACATGAAATGAATTGTTTTTAGAAATCAATAAAGTTTCAAAAGTTCTTTTTTGTGATATTGTGATCTGGGATGATTAAATGTTGGTCTGATTATCTCGACACAGATAAAACACACTCATATATTAGGTACGGTTAACCACTAATTAGGAATATAAAATGGATATCATGCTAGATCTATGTACAGAGTAATTCAAACTTCCTGCTCTTGGCTCATAACAGGAAAAGAAAAACTGCAAATGCAAATTTAGCAGAGGGGATTTAAATAGCTGTGTGTGAGGTATATTATGTTCGTATTTCAAAACAGTTCAACTGTTTTCAAAATGGCGGAAATGACGAGAGAAAAATCGTTCTTCCCACAAAGTTACAATTTTTTTCTCATATTCTGAAAGAACATATTTTTAAACAACTTTCATCCAATTTTTTTTTTCTGTCTTCATTGGTTATATGATATATATCGATATACAGGGTGTCCGGAAATTATGCGCAAGAAATCAATCAATCATCTTCAACTTTTGGGGTGAAAGTTTTAAAAATATATATGTTCTTTCATAATATGAAAAAAATTGTGGAAACATTTTTTTTCTGAC